GAATGACTAACAACATTTCAGATGTTGTGCAAAGAAATTGATCCATTAATGCCACCCTACCGTGCCCCAGTTCTGACAGGAATAAGCATTGCATCAGGATTCATAACAGATGAAAGAGCATATTTATATACACAGATGAAAGAGCATAAACCGCGAGCTGAATGAAATGCACGAGCCATGCATCGACCTGATCGACAAGTGATTATAGCACGCAGTGTCCAGGGACAGGAAACCCAACCCACAAACGGCTGACCAGCTTCCCATGCATCACCCCCACTCCTCTGTGCACATTTTTTCTTACTGGATAAAATGGTTCTACAGAGTTTTATGCATAACTTTTTTAAGTGCATTTTCAAAATGTATGCCCAACCTTGGTGTTTCCATCCGGGGTTTTTATGCAATATCCCAAAATGCACAAAAAAACTGGATAAAAAAACTGGAGAACTGCTATTGCCTGTCTTCTTATTTTCACTAAACAGTCTAAGAGTGCTTCAAGCTCAGACCTGATCAAGCTGCAGACATGAATAAATGCTACTTCAAACTGGCAAGCTTTCAGTTGGAGAGATCTGCAGAAATCCTTCCTCAAAGTTTTCAGCTCTCTGGAATGACTCCACAGCACACAACCTGCTCTGCCAGGAAGATCTGTGTAAATGTGTGCATTTGCAATCAGCAATTCTTACCTCCCAGAAACTATCCCAAGTCCCAACGTCTTGCAGATCGCCGTTGGAAGACATTTTGCGGTCACCCTTGCAGCACGGAATGATGGCGGTTGTTTGTCAAACTGCGAACAAAACAAGAAATTGCATACTTGTCAAACATTTCGATGAAATAAGAGAAGAAAAGAGTTCCAGTTCAGAACTAGTTCAGCCAGTCTGTATTCCAGATACCTATAAGTGCAGTCTAGAACGAAACCGAGAATATTCCATAAAATGAAGAAAGTCTTGGTTAAAGCTCCATGTGACCGATATGCTTTTGGTTTCTTCATGTCAAACTGTACTACATCAGACCAAACAGAGTGTTCATGTAAAACTAGACAAAAAGGAAATTATTGTTGGATCACCTCTGAGCGCTGGGCTTGCCTAAGCCAACTGAGGTGAGGAATAAGCTTCTCTGTTCCAAGTCTGGGTGGAGCCATAATTAACAAAAAGGAATTAAATTGCTGCCAACAGAAAGAATGACTTCCTTCCGTGAATATGTTTGTGAATTAAAAAAAAACAATGGTCCCTAATTTACTTTAGGATGTTCAAAATTAAAATCTGTTTACAACAGTGACCATTCTGATTTGTAACCGTTCTACTCAGAAAAATAATATTCCTGTTTTTCTGCGAAGGGACAACACATAAAATCCAATAGACACTGGACAAAAATTGGACATTTAATGTTACATGACTATAATCCAAAACACACAGCCAACATACTGAGGAGTGGTTCATTAAAAAGCTATGAAGGGCCGGTAAGTCTCCAGATCAAGGATCAATGACAAAGGTGGTGTGAATAGATAGTACGGCATTAATAATAAGACGTAAAATTAAGAAGACGTCCACCGATCATCCATCCTCACTATTAATTTTGTCACCTGACTGACATACAAGACAGCCAGTCAGGCATCAGCCCCATTATGGCATGAGTTACCGCGCATGAACATGCATACAATGGTGTCAACGGCTGCAAAACTCTAGCTAGTTAGCAAGGTAGCCTCCTGGTGGAGACTATCCGCAAAGTGGTGCATGCTAAAATCCCCAAGATGGGTGCAAATCTTGTTGCCACAACAAAGATCTTTCAGCTGTGATTGACAATAACACACTATGGGATGTCTTGTAGAAGCCAAACTCCAGAAGCATTATGTAGTCACCAGGCCAATTTGGTTACATGACAGATTTATTCTAATAAAATCCAAAAGTTTAAGTGTTTATTATCCGACCCATGGATTTGTAAATGATTAAGGGAGCAGCAAAAACACCTTCATTACCAGGAAAATTTGTTGATGCACACACTGCTTTGACAATTTTATGGGCTACATTTAGTCCAAACAGAACGAGTATGACTACCCCTCATGAACCCTGTGCGAGCTCTTCCTGTGCTTGTGTACATTTAACACAGCCGCTGGCCTTGAGCGCTTGTCGTATTGTTTGAACCGAGGCCATATAGCTTCCTCAAACAGACACAACAAATGAAAAAAGAAGTAGGACTGGCCTCGATGAAGCATCTGATTCTAATTCATGCTAAGCTGGCTTGGCTAATGGAAAATGAGCATCCTCAAGGGAAACTTGGGATTCAAACTCTGAAGGAAAGTTAGTTTTGAATCTCAGAGTTAAACATGACTCTGGAGGATGCCTTTTAACACATGCTCATCTCTATTTTCCTTTACTTTTTGCTTTATTTTACACTTATTGACATGGGGTGTAAATAATTTTTCATTAGGTCACTGACGCCTCCATAGCAACCATTTGGCATTCTATATCTCATCTTAGGGAAATCAACGACAGGAGGGTTGGTTCATTTTACTGATATTAGCATGGGGAACAATATATTGTCACCGAGCCTTCCAAAGCAACCAGACTGTTTGCCATAGTAACCAATTTGGTATATCTTTATCTCAGCTTGCTAAAGTCATGGGGGGATTTTAATCAATGCAACTGAAAACATAAAAAAAAAAACATTTTAAATGGCACTAGGAAAAGCCAAATTCCATATTCCAAGGCCAAATAAAGCCTTTTGATTTTCCAGCAAATAAATTTAGCTTGGATTACTTCCCCTGAACTTCCTCTCTGTGCGGTGAAGACAGAGGAGGGGGTGGAAAAAGTCAGCTCCTCATGGTATTTCCCACACACATGCCAAGAGTCGAGCTGATATGAAGAAAAAAAAAAGAATAATCACTTGAACCCCAGGCTTTAATTTAAAATCCAAGACAAGAATAGTTGCATACTGCCTTCTCTCAAAAACAAAACACAATTCAATGAGTGTTTCATATACAAGGTTTGGCACTAGGGTAAGGACACCAGCTGACTATTACCTGTAAATAAAATGTATAATACATGTATGCCTGTTCATTTTCATGAATTAATGTGTTACTGTAATAGTTGGGTCAAAAGACTTATTCATGGATGTATAATGGTTAGAAAATATCTTACATTCTGTTTGTGTTTGAGAGTACACCAACTACTCAGGGCTGCACATCACTGAATACCTGAAGTGTCTGCCTCTGTCTGTGCATAACATGGTTCTGTTCATGCATTGTTACTGAACCTGTAATTCTTCCTCATTAAAATGTACAGAAATCATCTAATTGACAAAAGCTACAGCGATGGAAAATGAAAAGTTGTGATTTTTTAGGCCGTTATGGTTAGGACCTATTTCATACTAATAATAGAACCATGCACCTGTAACTTGATCGCAGCAGCAGCAATGACATCACAAAGAATGAAAAACACAGTATACTTTAAAATATATTATAAATTATTTTTTGCACAACCTGTTTTAACTGGAATGAGAAGGGAGCAGATTTCCATTGACAGCCATGTTAAAGTTCTCAACTGAAATTTTTTTGTCAGTTAGTTAAAAAATTCTGGTTATGCATCCAGGATATCTAAAATGCATAATTCATCTGCAAGCAGGTGAATTTTTTTTCCCACTCAGTACAAGTTAGTTTTCAGCCACTCAATGCTGTGCACATGTACTGCATAATCAAGAAGTGACACAAATCCAAGATAGTTTTGGCTGTCTATGCCCAATTTGAGTCTCAAAACCATTCATTGGCGACATCAAAGAGACCGAGATCTTTGTGACGCATACAGAATGTGCTGTAAGGTTGGCCATTGTAACCCATCTGAGCGTACCCATTTGAGACCACCCTTAAGTGGCCCTGGATGTTTAATCCTTTTTCTGTATGGGCTTCACAGATTATTTTAGTTATAAAAAGCAACTACAAACACTGGCAAGTAACTCAGTTTTATGTGTAATTCCTTAAATAATACACAGTCTGCTCTGTTGCAAGCAAATGGAGGAAAGAAAACAGAAAAATTCAAAGCATTGGCAACAATATATGTGCTAGGCACTGAAGAAGCCAGACACACCCATTCCCATGGAACAAGTCACAGTGAACGAACAGCAGCAAGCAGCTGTGTAATCCAGAAATAATCAAAGCCGAAGAGAGCAAAGCAGACCCTAATAACCGTCTTCCATCAGCAGGCAACACTTTCCAACAGCTGAGGACATTAAAGCTTTTAATGAATGAATGTGTCAAATACCCAGTGACAAAGCTGCACCCACAAAGCCTAGCAACAGGTAAAAATCAACACAATGGACATGTTTCAGGAAGATCCTAGCACTGTAAAATTGAAATACTAGCAGGGAGGAGTGCGGCCCCGCTTTTCATTGTGCAGGGGTCTATTGTGCTCTGGATTGGTCCATCACGTTGATGTTAAAGAGCCCTGCACTCCCACAAGCTAAAAACGAACATGTCTAGGGAGAGGCACCACCAGGGCTGCAATTACACAGCTATGTCAATGCAAGGAGAAGAGATGGCAACTGTTAGAGCTACACTGTAATATGCAACACATCAAACATTGAAATCACATTTTTGTGTAGAGTGGAAAATGAGCGCAATTCATCACTTGACCATTTCACTGTACTGGTCATTTATTAGCTAGCCGTGCACAAAAATGTTTGTGGAAAATTTCCTTTGGATTGAGTTTTAGAGACTCAAAGGTGTTGTATTCTACCAGAATTTATCTGATGTAAAATTCACATGTGCATGTCCTCAGACATGTGAAGATGAATGGGTTGCTCACGTGATTATGTTATGCATTACTCTCCAACTTTAAAATCATGTTAGTAATGAAAACACTGCAAATTAAGCATTTTCATTCTACACATAATAGTTACTCCAATACAGTATTTTAGGAAGTTAATCAGCAAACATTCAAAACATATGCTTTCTACAATCAACAGAATCAGGCAATGGTTTATGCAGAAATGTTTAATACTTAAACGTTTGAATAGCTTTCCTGTAGCTCATTTGGTAGAGTATTGCGTTAACATTGCAAAGGTCGGGGGTTCAAATCCCTGGGAAAGCAAGAACTGACAAAAAAAAATAAATTAGTTAATCCATTCAAATGTAAGTCACTTTGGAAAAAGCATCTGCCAAATGTGTAAATGTAATACTTGTGGAGTAAACTTTGACGAACTGACAAAAGATTATGAGGGTCAGTTAAATCTCAAGGGGTTGCAAAACCATTTAGAACTGTGGCCCATGATATGCCTACAATCAAACAGAACCAGGTGCAGTAGAGTACCTGCATCCCTTCAAGGAAAAAAATTACTTAAACAAATAGACAATCCGGGCATTGACATTAGGACAACGGGGTAGACAAATAGGTTTTTTTTCTCAAAAAAACAGAAATTCCTGAAAATTAGTGCTCTAGCACACAAATGACAGTTTCACAAAAAAAAGTTTTCATTTAACGTAGAAAGAAATTAAAGTGCCCATGTCATCCATTTTTTAAAGATTGCCTTTCATGCAGTGTGTAATATACCTCAAAGATGGAGGAACACATGTTTTGAGTTTTAAAGGTGAAATTGCTCTGTGTATCGAGTCTTTAGCTCTAAAGCATCACCCAATACAACACCCCTCCTACCACCGACACGTCCATTCGCGGTTTAAAACAAAGCTCCTCCTACTCTCAGTGCCAAGCTACTAGTATCGTGCAGTTTCCATATGTGCATCTACATACATTCGAGTAAAACTGAAGTCACGCTTACAAAAATTGTCAAGGTAAGAAAACATTAAAGTAGCTGGATAATTACCACTGAGGGGAATCCTGCTCCAATCGATTTAGAATCGGAATGCCATCAGCAACTGAGCGCTCTTCCTCTTCGGGCACATATTCTGTTACAACCGCGGGACTTCTTGGGCTTTGGCAATTTAAAATAAATGTGTATTAAAAATATATTTAAAGTGTTTTTTGAACTTGGATGGGTTTCAACCTGTTGTAGGAGATTTAGAAAAAAAATCAACTTTTTAAAATGATGATATGGGCTCTTTGAATTTGTTCAAATGTTGGCACAATCTATGTTTTGTTCAATTCCTGTTTTCATTGTTTAATACACTCTGTGTCTGTGATTTTATATATATTGGGTCAATTACAACGATAATACTGAATTCTGCATTTGGAGCAATGATCGTCAGTTTGATCTCCAGCTGAGAATATATTCATAAGATGCAGGAGAGTTTGTTATTCAGCTGAGAGAATCAGGCTTACAGGCTCAGAGATCAGTCTTTGAATGGGTGACTCGGCCATCAACCACAGTCAGCCCCAGGGAAGATCTACTGCTGGGAAGATCTGAGAACTGCACTTTCGGCTCATTTTGAAACTTTGATAAATAAATGTATGATAAAACGGCTTGTTTTTCAGGCTGCTATGTTGAAGTTATAGCAAATTAGTTGAAAATTATGTCAAGAGCATCAATGTCTGGTGCGTCATTTGAGCTGTTCTACAATTCTTTTCTTTTTTTTTTCTTTTCACTGGAAATGAGCGCACACACACGAGCATTTTGTCTTCTTACATGCACTTGTTACCGAGACATAATTTGCGGACACGACAAAGTCGTCAGCGATTATTACTATTGTAGTCACACAATGCAAATCTGAGATCTGTCGTGCACAGAAAATACAACAGCAACTGAATAATACACCAGACAGTCTTCTCTGATGTGACTACTGTGCAGACTACAAAAACTGTTGTGCAGTCTGCACTCTACATAAATGTTAGTAATTTCAATGAAAGTGGGTTTACAGGCTGTAAATATTTACAAAGATGCTGCTGTTAAAGTTTTGTGTGCTTGATTTCAAGTCACACACAACTGTGATGGCTCTACAATATGCAATGGATTTTGCCTGTTTCAATCAAACATTTGAATTAGTTACTTCACCTGTTCTCCCTTTTGTGTTAAAATTAACCAAAAATTTGTCTTGTATTGAACTATAACATTTCGAGTTTGAGTTTATTCGTTCCCACATACTCGTTTGCCAAGTTGACCTTTGAAACACTGCACACACACAAAATTGCTAATCCTTGGGAAAGTTCATGAGGTAAAAGGACAAAATTCAGTGATAATCAAAACATGCTGTTCTTACTTACTTGATTTTCTTTTCCTACAAGTCTTTCTAGTTACCAGATTGAAAGGGAATCACTCTTGGATGTAAACTGCATTGCCATATCCATGAAGATTTCATTTGATGCGGTATAGAAAATGATCAGCCCAGTCAAAAAATAGACAGCAGCAGATGGCTGATCAAGCAAGTTATTTGCAATCTGGTGCAAGTCTTAAAGAGGCAACCCCCTTCGCCAGAGGAGACAGATGTGCTTCTCGCTGATTTGAATAAATGCCTCTCAAATGTGTTGCACAAGTTGCTCAGAGATGAACAGACTGTCAGGGGCTCTGCTTTTAAGGAAGTTCATGTTTCATAGGTCACTGGCTGTTTAGATGTTTTTGGTAAATCAGGGCTATGGTCTGTAGTGACTACCAGGGCACATTGTAATTACACTTAAAACATATAATAATACTTACATTTTAATAAGCTTTACTGACTATGAAAGATAATATTTTACTAATTTAAAGGGTTTCCCCTCTCAAAACTCAAAATTACGTAATCTATTCTACTTTAATTCTAGCAGTAACCTTATAAAAACCACAATACATATGTTAAGAATAAACTAAAATATGTTGGTTTAATTGTAATATAAAAACAAAAATAATCCTTTTACTTCATGGGAGCAGTGTTACTATTCAATAGGAGCCTTGATCTTTTAAGGCTGGCCCCTAGAAAAGTTCAATATTTTTACAAAAATTTTACTTTGGTATATTTGGAATAAATGCTCAAAAGTAGCATTGAACAACCCATAGCCCTACCCACCCTGCGCTCCTGGTCTTTAGTAACTGTTTAGCTGAGTAACTGTGACACTAGTCAAACGTAATGACCTATTCTGAAGTTATTGGACAATTTAATCAACTGATGTCTGCCTTCGACCAGCACAATATCACACATCACACTCAAATGAAAAGTACTCACTGATGAGATATTTCACTCTGATCACAAGAGAAAGAGAAAGGAACTTGTTATTGTCTAATAAAAACAAGGAATACTGGAAAATGCATATTTTCACAAAAATACTTTGTTATTCCTCTCTCATGCATCAGTTTATACAAAGTACTCCAGCTTTTTCACATGTACAAATCATCTTTCCATATCCATATAAACAAATCCACTGTTAAAACATATGTGAACTGACCAAAAGAAAAATTTGACCTGAAAAATGTGTGGGTTGAAAAGTTTGTAGTCAAAAAGGCCAACATGAATGCGAACCAGACTAGTGCAAATGTATGACTTAACGGAACAGACTGTAAACATACAATTCAATATCTCCTGGACATACTGTTGACAGTGTGACAATCCGCACAACTTCCAAAAAACAATAAAGGAGATGCTCATCCACACACAAGATTCTATGGATACCTATTCTTTGTGTTATAAAAAAAAAACTATTCTTGTTTTTTTTATAAAAAAAAAAAAAAAAACAAAAAAAGAGAGCTTTCTAAATATTCAATAGACCATTCTCACTTATGATTAACTCATTTTTTTTTGTCTTCTGCATGTTATGCAAATGAGAAACTTGCAATCAAACCCAACACACAGATTTCAAATGAAGATAAACTAAATACGACCTTCGCAGCTCAATATATTTTGAAGACGTAAGGTGACAAACTGTTAAATGAATCTATTTGGCATAGACCATGAGCGGGACTCTTAGTACTTTTACAGTGGGTGCAGTTTACCTTTGGTACATAAATCAAATGAAGTTACAGGTCACATCCAAATAAATTGACTGAATGTCGACTGAATGTTGAGACTTTTCAACTTTTCAAGGATTTCAACTAAATCAATTTCAGAAATGCTTTATTCTTATGCATCTTATGTTCTCGATCTTTTGGCAAGTTACACCTTTCTTTGACATGAAACAACCTTTACCAAATGTAATTATCTAGGGTAATAGTTCATGGAACTGGTGCATAATTTAAATTAGTATTAACACAAATACATGAAAAAAGATAATCTGTACCAAACTATATGACGTTGGGGTTCTAAACTATTGTAGGCTGCTTCTGGGAATTTTCTTCATTAGCTGTAAAGATACAGTCTTAAACAGATGCTTGATCATGTTGACTAAAAATAAAGACATTTGGAACTTATTACAAGTGTTCTTTTTCTGCTTGTTCAAACCCTAACTAGCAGTATTTATTTTTTCTATTCTCACACACAGACACTGAGATATCTTTGCAAACAAGACAGGCTCCAACTCATGAGCCAAATCAGAATATAAAAGAGAAATGCTGGATAACCTGCAAAGCCTTGTGCTGACCGATGAAAACAAAAGCTTCCGTCTAAGCAGAATGAGGCCATGGGAGGAGAGGAGGGGCTCATAAGCCCGCTTGAATCTCTCAGTCATTAATCTGATTAATGTACACACGACAACACAGAGCCTACAATATTTTAACTCTGAAGCTGCCCATAAATTTAGGCAAATGCTTTCCAACAAAAAAGAAGCATTCTTCCCAAAGGATACTCACTCCTTACCAGCAAACTGCGTCAAAAAACTACACGCCCTAAAGATAGACCCAAAATAAAAAGCAAGACCAGCGTTCATCTGGTAAATCCAAATGCTGAGAAAAGGTAGAAAGACTAGTGACCCATATACAAACTCTGCTGATTTATCACATCATTTATCATTTGGTAGCAATTCTGAGTTTAGTGCATCTAAATTTCGAGTTGTGAAACTAGCGGGAGGGAGAAAACTTTCATTTATCAGAAAGAATAAAACAACTTAAATGCAGTTTTTAAAAGATAAGCCTTCATTTCAAGAAATCAGGCACAGAATTTCAAGGAATTGTTTTACTACAATTGAAATGAAAAAAAAAAAAAGAGTCATTGTAATTATTTCCTTGTAAATCCACTTACAACGGAATCCAGTGTAACTCAATAGCAGCCAATCAGAATCTATCCTATGCTAAAGAAATC